GCAGCAGCAGCAGCAAGGGCAGAGTTGGGTGCAGACGTGGCTCTCGCTGTGCTTGGCACTGCCTGCAGCCCCAGCAGCCCCCCCAGCCAGCGACCGGCACCGCTGCCCCGGCTCCTCCCTCCTTCTGGATGAGTCTCGGGGAAGACCTGGTGTCCCTGGGTTGAAACCCTGCACAGTGAGTGTTCCCGTTGGGAATTGTGCTGCCCAGCCTGTTGGCTTTGGCTCTGCCAGTGCTGCCTCTGGTGACAAGGGCCTGCCGAGGGTCCCCAGGGCTCCTGCCCCAGGGGTAGCAGCAGGGCCTGCAGGGGCCCTGTGATCTGCACGTGTGGTTTTGAACCCTGCTGTGGCATGAGGGAATATCCTTGCCGTGCCATTCCGAGCTGGAAAGCCAGGCGGGCGGTGCGGGCTGGCCAGCGGGAGGACTGGGACCAGAGCTCCTTCCCAGGCTGCTGCTCCCCGGGAGCAGCCTCCCCATGTGGGTCCTGCCCTCGTGCACCAGCCCCGTGTCCCGTTGCAGCGTTGCCAGCCCTGAGTTTTGCCATCTGAATGTTTGTCTCCCTACAGGCCTGGGGCAGCCAGTGGCCTGGTGTCCTCGGGGAAGTGCTGTGGTCAGTACCAGCCAAGGGCTGTGCCTTTTCCCAAAGTAACCATCACCCTAATTGTGGGCCTGGAAGCCTTGGGTTGATCCCCCTGCCTCCCAGAACTAATTGCCTCTAACAGTTCTCTGCCTGGGTTGCCTGTTCTCTCTCTTCTTGAGGTGGCTGCGTGTTCTGAGCACGGCCCAGCTGGGGCTCCGGATCAAAACCAATGGGTGTCACGTTGCCTTGAGCAGCACTGGGTTGTCTCTCTCTGTCTTGCTCTCTCTTGGCTTCTCCCCGTCATGAGAAATGCACCACTGGACACAGAAATCTCAGATAATCATGCAAAATGTCTCATATCAGAGCCCTTCCCTTTCTCTGATCAGCTGGGCTGGCCAGCAAGACCCGTGTCTCTGAGGGCACCTTGCTGACTGCTTCAGCTGCTGCTTTGGGTCCCCAGCAGCCATGGGGACAGCTCTGCTGTGAGCTGAGGGCAGCTGGCACCTCTGTGGGGACAGCCTTGCCCTGGGGTTTGACCTGAGCTGCTCTGCCCTGCCCAGAGCCTGTGTGACCCCTGCACCACCTCTGACTCTGCTCTCGGTTGCAGACGAAACATTGCTCATCAACGTCATCTGTGGTGTGGTCTCGGGGGTGATCTCCTCTGCACTTGCCAACCCCACAGATGTGCTGAAGGTAAGATGTGTGTGTGACCAGTGTCCTGCCTGTGACAGGGCATCACCAGAGCCTGGTGGGGACAGCCTGCTCCCCTCCCTCCTGCAGCATTGCTGGGGTCAAGGCTCCTCTGCTGTGAGCAAAGAGAGCCTGGAGAAATGTCCTATGCTTCTCCCTCAGTAGATCAACCTTCTCAGAGGGGAAAAGCCTTGCCCATCACTGCTGTGGCTTGGCTGGGTTTTGCCCTCTTGAGTTTTGCCCTCTGCTTGCACCCCGTTGCTGTCCCTGCCCTTTGCCTGCCATCACAATTTGCTGTGGGGTTCACAGGGTGTCTGCTCTGAGTTCCTCTGTTGTCCTCTCTCCCAGTGCTGAGCTGGTGTCTCTGCCCTCTTGGGTGGGCACAAAGGTGACTCTGCCCTCCCTTGCAGATCCGCATGCAGGCTCAGGGCAGTTTGTTCCAGGGTGGGATGATCGGCAGCTTCATCGACATCTACCAGCAGGAGGGCACCCGAGGCCTCTGGAGGGTGAGCAGCTGGAGGAAGGCAGGGAGCTGCCCTGCTCACAGGGTGGGGCAAGGAGGTCACGAGGTGGGCTGTCAGCAAGGACCCCCGAGAGGACCCCAGGGTGATGCTGCTCTGGCTGCAGTCCCGGGGCAGCAGTGTGTAAGATGCTTGTGCTCTGCAGGGTGTTGTCCCAACAGCTCAAAGAGCTGCCATCGTGGTGGGGGTCGAGCTGCCTGTCTACGACATCACCAAGAAGCACCTAATTGTGTCAGGCCTGATGGGGGACACCATCTTTGCCCACTTTGTGTGAGTATTTGCTGCAGCTGCTGCTTGGCAGGGGGTGTGAAGCGGAGGAGCAACGTGGGATTTGGGGTGAGACCTGCCTGTAGAGCTCTGGAGCTGCAGAGAACAGGCTCTGTGCTTATTTGCTGCATGGCCTGGAGCAGCTCAGAGTGACCAGCTAGTATTCCCAGAGAGATTCCCTGGAGAAGGAGCCTGGCAGAAATCCTGTGGGGATGTGGGATGTCAGCTTGGTTTCAGCTGCTGCCCAGAAATGCTGTTGCCCTGTGTCTGTGCCTGATGTGGCCCAGGCAGGAGCTGGGCTGTGTGGCTCCCTGCACCAGAAGGGGCTGCTCCCATCCTCACCTTTATCCATACGTGCCCACTGGGGGCCTCTGAGCAGGGCCATGGGTTGCCCTTGCCCTGGCTCTCTGGGCTGCGAGTGGTTCCTGCCTGGGGCAGGTCACTGAGCTCTTTGTGAGGCACCTTTCAGGAGATCCGGTGCGAGATACTCTCTCGTGCTTGTGTCAGGGTGTGTCTGAGCCAGCATGTCCACGCTCAGAGCTGTTCCTCTCCCATTTGGCTGTGTGACTAGTTCCAGTTTCACCTGTGGGCTGGCGGGGGCCGTCGCCTCCAACCCCGTGGACGTGGTGCGGACGCGGATGATGAACCAGCGGGCGATCGTGGGCAGCACCGAGCTCTACAAGGGCACTCTCGATGGCCTGGTGAAGGTAAGGGGCTGGGAGAGGGGCAGGTCCCTGCCCCAGCACCCACACCACTGGTGGGGCAGATTCCACAGTGACAGGACGTGGTGCTCAGAGGAGGGCCCAGTCGCTGTCCCGAAGTTGCCATCAGCTTGAGTGTCCTCTGGGACCAAACTCTGTCACTGTTGATTAGGGTCATGTGCTGTAAGTGACACTTCACATCAGGGAACTTCACCTCCGGCCTCTGTTACTGCAGCTGCAGTGGAGGCCCCTTGTCCCACACGTGGTCTTAGGGAGGTGGCAGAGCAGGGCCCTGCTGTGTCTCAGTGGATCTGTCTCTTCTCTCCTCCCAGACGTGGAAGAGCGAGGGCTTCTTTGCGCTCTATAAAGGTTTCTGGCCCAACTGGCTTCGGCTTGGTCCCTGGAACATCATCGTATCCTTCAGTGTGCTGGGGGGTCCTTCCTGGGCAGGGGTGGGTGGGGGAACCGAGCTGAGAAGGGCAGAGCAGGCAGCCTCTCTGGTGCTTGGCCTGAGCTCCTGGAGGTGCTGCCATTCCTGGTTCAGCTGCTGTGTCCAAGGATGATGAAGGAACTGGAACATCTGTCCAGGCTGAGAGACCTGGGGCTGTTTAGTCTAGAGGAGAGAACACTGAGAGTCTTAAAGAAGTCTGGGGTTAGAGCCCCCTCAGTGCTCTAGGTGAGCCTGGGCCAGTTTGCTCCTAGGGCCTCTTCCCTCTCCCAGTTGCCCCACAGCTCTCCTCCCAGCACAGACCAGTTGGTGCTGCTTGGAAGAGGGGCTGTGGGGCTGCTCTGCCTGGCTGTGCTGCCCTCCCTGCTGGATCAGCCCAGTTCCTTGACGTTCCCTCCAGTTTTTTATCACGTACGAGCAGCTGAAGCGCCTGCCCTTCTGACCGCAGCCCCCGCAGCTCTGCTGCTCCTGCCCCTCATCTGCCCCCCTCCCTGTGTTGGTACCTGTGGGTCTGGGCTCTCCCCCTCCCCCAAATGCATGGTCCCTGCAGCACGGGGTCTGGAGCCTGCGGGGAGCCTGCTGGCAGGTGCTGCCTGGCTTGTTTTGCCCCATGGAGGCGAGTGTTCTCGGTGTGCAAGTGTCTGGGCCCGCAGCCATATCTTCTGTGAAGATCTGTGCGTCCTGGTGGCCTTCTGGTGCAGCTGTGTTTGTGCTGTGTGTCCTGCCGTGCCCAGGGGAAGGGGCTGGGGGTGCTGCCGTCTGTTCTTGCAGAGCTGTAACCTCATTAAATTATTTATTGACTGGGTGGCTTGGGTTTGTGTCAGTGCAGATTTACTTCCAGAGCAGATGGTGGGTCTGCCCTTGGAGAGAACAGAAACTGTATTTTCAGCACACCATATATGTGTATATGTATCCTTTTTTTCCCCAAATACATGCATACAAAAGCAATCATTAGGATTAATTACAGTAGAAATGCTGATTTGTTCAAGTTGAATTGTCAGCGTTGGAAAATGATGGTCTTGCAGTCTTAGCTCAGTTTTGCAAAACCTCAGTCTTTCCACCTTATGCTTTGGTTATTTGTGCTCATATTGCTGTATAAACAAGGTGATGTGATTTAAAGCTGAACCCAGATGTCCCACTGCTGTCAAGTGTGGCTCTAACGTGGCTGTGCTAAGCAGAGCATAAAGTGAGGTAGGTGCTCTGGTCATCCTCTTCTGTTTGTTTTTTCTATGTGTGCATGGCTGGAAAAAGCAAACAGCTCTTGTGTTCCCGCTCCCTTTTCCTTCTGGGGTGGCTTTAGTGTGGGGGAAGGTCCCCAGTGAAACAGGGCAGGGCGTCCTCCCTGGGAGTGCTGAGATCCTCTGTGCAAACCAGGTATGTTCAGCCAGATCCAGCCAGAGGAGAGGGAATGGTTTGCTGTGGTTTTGCAAAGGCAAAGCTGCCTTGTGCCAGCTGTCTGCATGAGGAAGGTGATTCTGACCAGCTCTTGGACCTAAATCGTGCCCTGAACAGAGAGACACTGCTGCAGGGCCAGGGCTCAGCAGGCTGGGAGGGTCGTTTTCAGAGTTAAATTGTACTTAGGAGCTGCTAGAAACAGGGACAGTGGATGGAAGGGGGAGAAGGTTCATGTGCCTCCCCTGACTTCACTCTTGAAGAGGATTTCTAAATATTACAGAGTAAATAAATAGTGATGGATGAATAGGAGTCTCTGCAAGGGATGTATTTTAACTGCAGTTCATCACCATCTTCAGGTTTTCCTTGGTGTTTCTGTCACTGTCATTCTGGGGCTGTTCCTTCTGCACAGTTCCGTGGGATGCTGCTGTTCAGTTCTGGGCTGATCCTCTGACAGCTTCTCGTGGTCCTGCCCACGCTCTGCAGCTGCTGGGGGGAGCTCCTCACTCCCTGTCCTGGGGGCTCCTCACTCCCTGTCCTGGGGGCTCCTCACTCCCTGTCCTGGGGGCTCCTCACTCCCTGTCCTGGGGGCTCCTCACTCCCTGTCCTGGGGGCTCCTCACTCCCTGTCCTGGGGGCTCCTCACTCCCTGTCCTGGGGGCTCCTCACTCCCTGTCCTGGGGGCTCCTCACTCCCTGTCCTGGGGGCTCCTCACTCCCTGTCCTGGGGGCTCCTCACTCCCTGTCCTGGGGGCTCCTCACTCCCTGTCCTGGGGGCTCCTCACTCCCTGTCCTGGGGGCTCCTCACTCCCTGTCCTGGGGGCTCCTCACTCCCTGTCCTGGGGGCTCCTCACTCCCTGTCCTGGGGGCTCCTCACTCCCTGTCCTGGGGGCTCCTCACTCCCTGTCCTGGGGGCTCCTCACTCCCTGTCCCGGGGGGCTCCTCACTCCCTGTCCTGGGGAGCCACCCCAGCACCGTGGCCAGGACAGGGCAAGATGTGCTCATGGGGAGGCAGCAGCTCCTGGTTGTGTTGGTGCTCTCACTCCACCCATCCTGCTGCTTCTCTATCTGACCTCCCCTCCATCTCCATCTCATGCTGTGGGGTCCATCAGGGCTAAAATTCCCCAGATGTCTTCCAGGGCAAACAAAAGAGGAGGTGTAAGGGTGTAAGGCCATGGAGCCCTTCCCACTAGCTGTGCTCATGAACACCCAGGCTGTTCCCAAGGGGCTTCCCTTCTCCACAGCCCCATCCATGGTGGCCACAATCCATGTATCTGCTGCACCTTCCCTCCCCACCAGGTCCTGCCCTGGCCCCACTCCCAGCCCCCCCATCCACCTGTGCTCCTCGGGTTACTGTTTGACAGAGGGAGGCTGGAACCTGCCCCGTTTCCTGGCAGCTCAGATTTTTCCAGCTCAGGAGGCAGGAGAGGTGGCTCCTGGCACTTTGTGCAAAGGGCTGGAGCAGCCATGGGCACAGCTGGAGAGGGTCACCCACCCCACGGGAGCGAGGGCCGTGGTGGGGGGTTTGCAGGAGTCTGTGGCACACAGGGATGCAGGGCTTTGGTTCTGGGAATTTTGGTGTCACGAGTTACTATTAGTACAGTAAATACACAGATTAGTAAAGCAAGTGTGTGAATGTGGGATTTTTAATTTTTCTTAGTATTGGTGGCAAATGTGTGTGTGTGTGTATATATGTGTATGTATTTCATTCCAAGTGTTATGGTGCAGCTCATGAAGCTGCTCCCAGGAGTGAGGTCAGTCCGTGACAGTGAAGTCTCTCATTGGAGATGATCCACGTCACAGAGCCTGGAGTCAGGCAGGTGTGTCCAAGAGGAAGTTCACACAGGGAGCTCCTGGAGGGGCTCGTCTCCTGGGGAGGCAGCCAGGTACTTTTAAGAGGATCCAGGAGTGGGCAGAGGACACCAGCTCCTGGAGCAGCTGCTGCTTGCTTAGGAGGCCCCTCTGGAGGTTCTGGCAGTTCCTTTGTTTCACGGAGGACTCTGGGCTCCCAGCTGCCCTGACCAAGGGTGTTTCAGTCTCCCACCTGCCCCTGCCACAGATGTGCCAAGTTCCCAGGCTGGCAGACTCTTCCTCCAGCTGTTCTTTTAGCAGACATCTCGTGCAGTCCTTTCCCCCTGATACCAGGTCTGTGCCTCAAGAAGGGACCCATGTTCCTCGGTGCCTGCAGGAAGAGGCTGCCCCAGTTCTGGCAGGAGCCCCACGAGCTGTTCCCTGGCACGTGGGAACTCTCTCTGCTTGTTCCCCGTTGGCAGCAGCCGTGGCAGAGCGGGGTGCTGGCTGTGCTGGGTGCATCCACCACCCCCTCTGCCATCGTGGCAGCTTCCTGCCCAGGCGCTTGCTGCTCACCCCCCTGCTCCAGGGTTGTCTGGAAACGTGGCTGGAGGGGAGGGACCTCCCTGGGCACAGGGAGTGCTGCAGTCCCTCCTGGCTCCACAGGGTTTGCTCCCAGCCTGCGCCACACTGCTCACCCAGGGCCTTTGCTGACCCCCCGTTGCCGGGGCTGCACCCACCGCCCGCTGCCCAGCTGGACCTGCTGAGAAGCCCCAGGTGAGAGATGCCCGAGGATGGTGTTGGGGACGTGCCGTGCTGGGGCTGTGCCCTGCAGGAGCCAGCCCTGGGAGCCGTCCTGGCTGTGCTGGCCTCGCTCATCATCACTGCCAACGTGCTGGTGGCCGTCGCTCTGCTCTGCCTCATCCACAAGAGCAGCTCCAGGGGCCTCTGCTTCGTCCTGAACCTCGCCGTGGCAGACACCATGGTTGGCTTCACAGTTGCAGGTCTGGTCGTGGACGAGTTTTCCCAGCCCTTCTATCCTCCCCAGATCTTCTGCGTCCTGAGAATGGCTTTTGTCACCTCCTCTTCAGCTGCCTCTGTCCTGTCCCTGATCCTGGTTGCGTGCGACAGGCACCTGGCCATCAGGAGACCTTTCTACTACGTCCAGCTGGTGACAGGCCCGTGGGTCGGGGTGCGCCTGGTGGGGCTCTGGCTGGTCGCTGCCCTCATCGGCTTCCTGCCCTTCCTGGCCCCAGCCTTCCAGAGGGACATTCCCCAGGGGAAGAAGTGCTCCTTCTTCGCCGTCTTCCACCCCGCCTACATGCTCACGGTGTTCTGCGCCGCCTTCTTCCCAGCCCTCTGTCTCTTCATTTACCTCTACTGGGACATGCTGAAGATCGCCTCGCTGCACGCTCAGCACATCCGGGGGGTGGGGCTGGGGGGCTGCCCCCCGGCCCGCGCCCTCAAGGCCATGCGCACCGTGGGGCTGCTCGTCGGGTGCTTCACGCTGTCCTGGCTGCCCTTCTTCATCGGCAGCGTGGTGCAGACCGTCTGCCTGGAGTGCTTCCCCTACAGAGTCGTCGAGAGCTACCTCTGGCTGCCGGGGCTCGGCAACTCCCTGCTCAACCCGCTGCCCTACTCCTACTGG